ATATAGTCCCATGATATCTCCATTTTATTTCCATTATGTAGTCCCATTAGATTTCAATTGTATCTGGGTATATTAAAACGACCTCACTGTTCTCCCTCACTGGAATAATGGTTAGATTGCGGGGAATTATCCCCATATGGTCGTACTTCAGGTTGGTGAATTATTATTAAATTTATCCAGATATAATCATATATATATATATACACACTGTATATCCCATGATATCACCATAACCTTATGGTTAATAGCTGTGAACATTATACACCATTTTCCAATCAGCGATCTGCAGGATAGCTGTGAACAGCTTCAAGCAGCGGTGGATGCTCGCCCCTTTGACACTTGGACGACTTGGTGCAGTGAATCGCGAGATGTTTTTCCGAACGGCGGTTTGGTGTTTGGCTTTGGGTTTACAGGGGATCATAGGGAACTAGTTAGATGGGGTAAAACGACCAACTTACAATGTTTCGTTTTTTTTTTTTGCTGTGTAATTTGTTGAGAGTTTACTAACGGGTTTATTGGGATTATGAACTAGCCCATAACAGGAACATGTACTAACCAGCCAGTACAACGGTAGTATTGTTAATGGTTCGCTTGGGTTTACATCCTAATCTGCGACTTAAATATGTACGTCCAAAAATGATGGAACCGTGACTTATCACTAATTTAGTAGGATTTTGCTTTTCTATTTTGTTGTCGGTTGCTATATTTATACATATCTTCAACTGTGTAACAACTGGATAGTTCTATCGTAGTGTGTATGTGTATATCTCTAGATTAGCAAGTGTGGATATTCCATACTTATCTGGTGAACTAAGCGACTAAGCATGGATATACTGAACCCAAGCCAGTAAGTGGTTAATAGCCATCATTCATGGTTATAACCCACTTATGACATACCCATTAACATATATATATATATACATATTATACTAGTACATATCTATAAAGAAACTCATTGTCATCGGAGAGAAGATAAAATATGGAATTTTCAAACAAAACAGCCACATGGGAATATGTTTGACCATTCCTTCCTATACGTCAGGATGACTATATACTGTACATATCTATACACATGTAGATATGTATAGATAGGTATAGATATGTAAAGATATGAATGTATAGATGTAGATATGTATAGATATTGTTATCATCCATGTACCAGCAAGAATATGCATGAAGTCGGCAAAGAACTCTAAGCCCAGTGAGTTCAGAACCCTACCTTTTCTTGGCGCGATTCATCCGTACTGATTTGGACGAAATGGGAGATCTTCAGGATCCAACAGATGGAGGTACGTAAATGTAGCATATGTTTGGCCATATTTTGGGGGGAGATTCCCTGAAATGGAATGGCCTAAAAAATAGGCCTTATATATGGGAGGTACCTCCAATTTAGGATCCTGGAATGGCCATTGACTGGGGAACTGTTTGTTATTCTTTAACCAAAATTTGGAGGGCATGAACCTTCAGAAGTGAGGATAAGACCCTAATGATTGAGGTTATATGGACTGATTTGATGAGTTCTAGTCCATTCTGTATGGGAATCCCTGTCAACCAATGAGTAGATGGCAGAGAGTTTTTTGGACGCTCCTGTGGCCACAAGAAGCGGTGAGAATTACAGTCTTTTTCTTAATCCCAACTTGTGTTGTGAGCACACTTCTTGCATGTGCATCCCACTTGGTAAGTGGTTCATACCCCATGCATACCCATGGTCACTGGGTTATGAAATGGTTGTTACCCACGGATCCGTTACCTGAATAGCTTAACTGCTCCTATCCTGCGTAACCTTCGGACGTCGGATACCGCCAAAAACCTGGGATTGCCCGGGATGGTGCTCAAAAAGTGTCCCGGCTCAAAACCAATTCGAGAAACAGGTCGTTTGTGGCGCATGCTTCAAGTCACTGTAGCTTTGCCAAGCGGACGCAGTGAGAAGTTTGGACCGCTTCCGCAGTCCTCCAAAGTAGGGGATTTGAGGGTTCTAGCACAGAAGTCGTTTCAGCTTGGGTTCTTGAGGCTTGTTACGGCAGACCACAGCGTGGTGGATCCTGCAGTGTCTCTACAAGCTGCAGGGCTTGAAGATGGAGACCACCTGACAGCTATTGCCGTAAAGGCAAAGCTAGCGGCAACAGACTGAGCTTTTGCGTTGTTTTGCTGTGCAGGTGACCGTGTTGTCACTTGGGGCGATCCATATTGGGGCGGTGACAGCTCTCAGGTGCAAGATCGGCTCAAAGGTGTCCAGCAGGTTCAATCAAATCCAAGTGCATTTGCTGCAATCCTGGCAGATGGGTCCGTTGTGACCTGGGGCATTCCAGAGTATGGAGGTGACAGCTCTGAAGTCCGAGATCAGCTCAATGACGTCCAACAGGTTCAATCAAGTGGAAGCGCATTTGCTGCGATCCTGGCAGATGGGTCCGTTGTGACCTGGGGCGATCCAGATTATGGTGGTGACAGCTCTGAAGTCCAAGATCGGCTCAAGGGCGTCCAGCAGGTTCAAGCAACTTACCGCGCATTTGCTGCGATCCTGGCAGATGGGTCCGTTGTGACCTGGGGCGATCCAGATTATGGTGGTGACAGCTCTGAAGTCCAGGATCGGCTCAAAGGTGTCCAACACGTCCAAGCAACTCGCTACGCATTTGCTGCAATCCTGGCAGATGGGTCAATTGTGACTTGGGGCGTTCCAGAGTATGGAGGTGACAGCTCTGAAGTCCAAGATCAGCTGGAAGGTGTCCAACAGGTTCGAGCAACCAATGGCGCATTTGCTGCGATCCTGGCAGATGGCTCGGTTGTGACCTGGGGCGATCCAGATTATGGTGGTGACAGCTCCAAAGTCCGAGATCAGCTCAAAGGTGTCCAGCATGTTCAATCAAATGGACGCGCATTTGCTGCAATCCTGGCAGATGGGTCCGTTGTGACTTGGGGCGGTCCAGATTCTGGTGGTGACAGCTCTGAAGTCCAAGATCAGCTCAAGAGTGTCCAGCAAGTTCAGGCAACTTGCCGCGCATTTGCTGCGATCCTGGCGGATGGGTCCGTGGTGACCTGGGGCGATCCAGATTATGGTGGTGACAGCTCTCAGGTCCAACATCAGCTACTAGGTGTCCAACAGGTTCAAGGTACTGAGCATGCATTTGCTGCAATCCTGGCAGACGGGTCAGTTGTGACTTGGGGGCATCCCCATTATGGTGGTGACATGTCAGCAGCAGATCAGGTTGCACTTGTGTAGTAAAAACTAGGCGCAAAGCCGCCGAGCAGAATCGACCAGAATGCTATGAGGTGGTGCCACGGTCACCCAAACGTTCTTGGAGCTAGACTCGACTCCGACTGATATATTATTATACCAATAATATTCCCATTCTGATGGTTAATCAATGATCCAATGATGGTTAATATTAATGGTTAATATTGTTTGGTGGCCCACCTTGTGCTGTCGATTGCTCAGTGGTGCGTGTGACAAGGCGCTCTAAAATTGCTTCGCCATGCTTCGCTAAAATTCTGGGTACCACGTACCAGCACCAGAGAGCCATGCCCGTTGGATTCGATAATGTCTTCTGCCAGTGGTGGATCAATGGGAATTTCAGGATCCTAAAATGGAGGTACCTACCATATATAAGGCCTATATAAGGCCTATATCAATGGAAATTCCCATTGATTGGAGGATTCATCTCTTTCCCTAGGAACAATTCTCATCTACGCCCGAACCCTGATGTTTTTGGGATCTATTCCATCTTTGGAGTATGTCATATCGGGGAAAGGATCACTTCCGAACATGGATTTTTTTGGGGGTCTCAGTCATTCAATTCCAGTGACTGAGAACTGCTCCACCCTGTGGTGCTCAAACATCCAATCGGCTTGTATTCACTCGATGGCGCCGTGACGCCTTTTTTTTGATACGACTGTTTCCAAAGTATATGGTATTACTAGCGGAAAGGGATAGTTTTGAGATGAAGTTCATGCAATGATTTTGGTGGCAGCGAAATGCGTGTCGCGAAATCGCGCAAGCGCGTAAATTTGGTGAGGTGCACTCCACCAGTTGTGGCACATGAATTCCGTGCTGGGATGACCATATTTACAAAAAAATCGCCCCCTGCGATTTGAATTCCCAGTGTTTCCCATGTTTTTTTTGTGGCTTAAGCGGCGTAACTTCTTCCCCATTCGAATGCTAGATCCAGATCCGAAGCACTGGAATTTGTTGATCCATTGGATCTGGAATTTCCTAAGCAATTTCTTGGCCCAGTCGATTCACCCATTGCTGGTGAGCTGCCCAAGGACCAAAACAGCAAGTTGAAGGCGGGGTCCCCAGGGTTGCTGCCAGCTGGGGAGGGTAGAACTACTCGAAACCTGCCCCGCGAGTGATTCATCCTTTTCTTGCATCCACTTAAGCGTATTACGGTATTACAAAAAAAATTGGGGCTTTGGAGATATTTTCTCGTTTTGGTTTTTCAAAATTAAGCTATTTTCAGAACTCGTCGCTTTGTATTTTCAGACTTTGTTACAAAAACCTTCATGACTTTTAAAACCATGCCACATGCGTTCTACTAGAATTCTCAGCTCAATTTTCCTTAGTTGTGGTATATGACACATTTTTCTTCTGACACACTTATTGTGGGACAGCTTTTCTGTTCTCTGCCTGGCGACGTCCGCAGAAGGAAATTTCTCGTATAGACGCCCGGCTAGATATTTTAACAAGTGTCATGACTATTTTCTTTTCTCGTTTTCTTTTGGCTCAATGGTTAAGATGCGCCGCTCCATTGTGGCTGTTTCGGCCGCGGTACTGGCTTGGCTCGGCCATTTTAGTGGCTGCTTCGGCCACGGTAGCAATGTCAAGCTTGGAAACCGGGGCCAAATTCAGATGGCGTAGTTCGGGCAAAAAATGGTGTAACATGTTCCTCGTCTCAGATGGCCAGCCAGAGCTAGGGTCATGGTTGGATGTGAAGCAGCAACCTTGGGGTGTTGGTTGTAAAGTGTGCAAGGAAACTGGGGTTTCCAATCCTTTCGCTTCTTATTCAATGACCAAGAAGGGCCAACTGCAGAACTGCAATTTGATGAAGCACCATAAAAGCAAGGCGCACAAGGCAGCGGTGAAGGAATGGTTGAAGGAAGGGGGCTGTGTTGGTCCTAGTCCCGATGCAGCCCTGGCATTGAGTCAGTTTCAAGAGCTGATGGAGTGCTTTGGCGAGAAAAGATCATTGACGCAAAAAGAGCTGCAAATGGCATGGTGTTTGGCAGAGGGGTTAAAAGCTTTGGACCAAACGTTCATTGCGAAATCTTCTCACATTTCTTTGATGCGGGATGAGCGGCATGGGCGGTTGGCCATACGATTCATGGCTGTGGCCCCAGACTTGACAACTCGAAGTGGCTTTTTAGGCCAAGCAAGGCAAGCTGCTGGAACAGGAGCTGCCAATGTCTCCTTAGCCACATGGGCAGTCATGAAGCGTGCTTGCTCTAGATTTTATATGGCTCCTCTTAGTCAGAATCCTGGGCGTTTGAAGAAAAATCTTTTTAAACACCTGCGGTCAAGAGTTGTGGCACTCGCTGCTGATGCAGCAGCAGATGAAATGGCAAGCTGTGAAATATTAAGGTCAGCACACTTGAGTTTGAATACAGAAGACAATCAGCCAATGCTGCCAAACTTGAGGTCAGAAGTGGACAATCGATTGAGGGTTGGACACTGCTCAGGAGCCACCTGGGTATTTCAACTCACCCAAGCTGCTGCGGCCGAGGCTTGAGATTAAGGGCGTAGTCAGGCTGCTTCGGCCTGCTCGTTGCCAGGCTGCTTCGGCCTGCCCGAAACTTTTTTTTGAAAAAAGTGGTTGCTTCAGGCTTCAGCCACAGAAGCTTGGCTGCTTCGGCCAAATCGCCTGGCTGTTTCGGCCAGCAAGGGTTTCGAGAAGACAGACCGTCTCTTAGAAAATAGTGGCTGCTGTGGCCTTCTTGGGACCAGGTTGTGGAAGAGACTTTGAAACCACCAAAGAGTATTTGAATCCAAAAAGGGGAAAATATGTAACATGTTTACTGTTTACTATTCAAATGTCCTTTAACCTGGTAAGGGGGATATTTTCTTTTTTATGTCATAAGGGATTTTGACATATGTTTAAAAATCATCTTAAGAATTACAGGGATGTCACCTCTTAAGACTATAAGACCCTAATTCGGGGACATCCCCTAACCTCCTAAGACTAATTCGGGGACGTCCCCTAACCTCCTAAGGGGTAATTCGGGGACATCCCTTAACCTCCTAAGACTCTAATTCGGGGACGTCCCCTAACCTCCTAAGGGGTAATTCGGGGACATCCCTTAACCTCCTAAGACTCTAATTCGGGGACGTCCCCTAACCTCCTAAGGGGTAATTCGGGGACATCCCTTAACCTCCTAAGACTCTAATTCGGGGACGTCCCCTAACCTCCTAAGGGATATAATCAGAAACCCTATCCTATGGAGAGGGCGATTTGCCCTCTCCAACCGAAGGTCGGGGACGTCCCCTAGCTGTGTAAGGAGAGGACGAATAGAGGACGAATGTGTAATACTACTAAGTGTTTCGGTTTTGCAAGCTGTTGTCCTCTGTTTGTCCTCTCCAACCGAGCATCGGGGACGTCCCCTACCTGTGTAAGGAGAGGACGAAATGACCTCTCCTTACACAGCATGTTTAACCAAAAACCTGCTGTGTAAGGAGAGGTCGTCACAGGTCGTCATGTTGCCTGAGCTTGGCTGTTTCGGCCACCCTGGCTGCCTTGGGCCTTCGTCAGTGAGCTGTGTAAGAAGAGGGCTGTGAGAGGACTATTGAATAAAATTCCTTAGGGCAAAACAACCTTTTTCGAATAGTCCTCTCACAGCCCTCTCCTTACACACTTCGCTGCTGTCAGTCTAAGGAGAGAACTGTTAGTCCCCTCCTTAGAAGCCTCACTCAAGTCGTTTCTCGTTGTTTTCGGCTCACGAGCTTTTCCGTGTGTAAAAGCTGTTTCGGCTTAAACCGTGAAACGTTCCAGGCTGCCTCGGCCTGCAATCACAGGCTGTTTCGGCCTGGAATATAACCTCACAGACTGGTTCGGTCTTGGAGCCAGTTGGCTACCACAGTCCTATGAGCTCTGCGACGAGTCGATCCACGACTTTTCGCGAAGATCATTATCGATCTGACACCTCTGGACGGCCGCATGGCTTGGGCAGCCTTGCGAAATCGGGTATAGGGTATGTAGGAGTTGCCTTCAACCCAGAGCACCACCGGCTGCTTGCATTGCTTGAAAAAGAAATGACAAACCCTGAGTCCAGCTTGTTTTCGTCAGCTTACAGTGAAGCCGTCGGTGGCAGTGGGCAGGCACCTGTGAATCAGACCGCAAAACCAAAGGCAAAGGTAAAGGCAAAGGCCAAAGGCAAGGGAAAGGCCAAACCAAAGGCTAAGGCAAAAGCCAAAGCCAAGCAAACAAAGGATGAGCAGGAGGAAGGCGAAGAGGAAAACGACGAAGATGAAGAAGACGACGTCTGGAATCCTTTGGGAGACGACGATGACGACGAAGAGGACAATGGAGACAAGTGATGTGGCTGCCTCGGCCATAGACGAGACGACGTGGCTGCATCGGCCATACCACGGTTGCATCGGCCGTGTGGCTGCCTCGGCCATAGGCGATGATGTGGCTGCGACATAGGCACTTCGGACCTATAGGCAGTTTTGATTGTGCCTTCCATGCGGGATCGAAAAAAAAGCTGCTTTTAATTTCCCACAAACATGACAGGTTGAAAGGTAAAAGTGTCGACTCTCTTAGGGGGATGTCCTGCTGTCAGTCGGTTTGTCTCATGTTTGCTGTACATGTTCTGAAACATAATCATTTGCGGTTTCTCGCACATTTAGGCTCTAGGCTTAAACTACATATGACCGTTTCCATGCTGATGATGATGCCGCCGCCCGAACTTCCACGATGACGTGGCAACCCCAGTGTAGTCACTAAGCCTGATGCCAAAGTCATCCAAAGGGATCTTCTCAAAAGGTTCCATGTGGAAAAGCTGTACCAGAAGTACAGGCTGCTTCAGACCAGCACATGGCCATCGGAAAGCAAGCTTGCTTCCACTATGCGGATCGAAATTGTGAGAAGAAAAGGGGTTAAGTGGATGAATGAAAAAGAAAAAACAAAGTGATGAGAAGTAGCATTTTGACTGCATCGGCCAAGCTATGGCTGCTTCGGCCAAGCTATGGCTGCTTCGGCCAAGCTATGGCTGCTTCAGCACATGGCTGCTTCAGCCTATTCGAGTCTAATTCATATGATTTCAAAATCTATGGGAACCCATCTTTAATTCACCTGTTTGTGGCTTGCACAAACCAAACTTGCTGTAGATATTTGGAATCCTCGTTTGCCCAAGAGAAAAAATGCGTGGACCGATGATTGAAGCTATTTTCTTGTTGTTGGAAGACATGACATTGTCACTGCCGGCACACACATGCATTAAAATTTGAGCACACGCAATCTGATATTTCACCCATGGAGACATTAGCACTCCTTTTGGTTTATATGCTTCCTTCTCCTTCATTCCTTTTACAAACACTTTCTTAAAAGAAGCTGTCTACTCCACTTTTTTATTTTTATTTCTCGTTTCAGTAACTTTCTCGTGTAAGTAACTTTCTCGTGTAAGGGCAATTTTTTTTTGTAATACCGTAATGCCGCTAAGTGGATGCAAGTTTTAGCGGGCATTGATATTCACCATTATTCACCTGTTTGTGGAAGTTTATTGAGGTCCAAACGCGATTTCTCGCCGCTTTTGTCCTCGTTGTTGCTATTATACCTGTTTTCGCTGGGTTGATTCTCATTGTTGGCTTGTTATTTTTTTTTAATTTTTGCTGTCTATATCCCAAGATTTGTTGGTATATCTCCATTTTTCTCAATCAGTTCCCCCGCAAGTAACATAACACGACGCCGGGGAAAGTCCCTCGCAGAAAACGTTGGCAGGTGAATCTTATGTCCTCCGACCCTCCCGCGGTGGTCTTTGAACATTGTGTTACGGGTGGGGGACGCCCAGTTTTTTTTGGGAAGGCCCCTCTATATCAACCAGATATACCATTTATAGTTGTTGATATCCATCAATAGTAATTTATATATCTATTTTCTAGTGATTAATGGGATTCATATGGATATACCCTCTGGTTATTTAAGTTATTTAATATAGCCATGGAAAATCCCCAAAATAAATGGAGGTTTCTAGCTGGGAAAATCATCTATAAACATAGCCATGGCTTCCACGGCTATGTTAAATAACCAGAGGGTAACGGGAAACTGTGGGAACTCCCAACTTTTACATCATGAGTTCCTTTTTTTGGTTGAACAATCGAGATGGCATTGGTGATTTGGTGAAGAGATTGGAGGGTTATGGGAGTTATGGGTGATAGATTCTCATAGGGGTTCTGAACCTACAATGTGAGGCTCCCAAGATATCTAAGTTGGTGCCAATAACTCCAATAAGTATGGTTTATGGTACTTATAATTATATAGTTACTGGGGCGAATCTAAACCAACTAACATCACTGGGAGGGGCCACATTGTACCTATTTCTACAGTTTTTGTTCCTCCAGTACGTTGTACAACACCGAGCCTCATGGCACAACTGTTGCGGGTTGGCAGTTTTCGGCTGAAACAGAACCTAAAAAGGCGTGAAAACAGCATCTTTGTGCTGGGAAAGCAAACAGAAAACAAACATGTTTATCTGGTTGGTGGTTTGGAACCTGAATTTTATTTTCCATTTCATATATGGGATGTCATCCTTCCCATGGACGAACTCATATTTTTCAGAGGGAGTAGGTATACCACCAATCATAGAATTGGATGATGGGAAAATTTACAGGAAAGCCCTCTATTTGATGGTAAAAACCATGGTTTCCTGTCAATTTTCCCTTAAAACAACCCAATGAACCAACCAGTGTTCATAATGAGAAAGCTCTTTCTGTTTTGGGGGCCAACAAAGGTTGGGACGGGACGACGTTTCCGGGTTTGTCTCGCTGGGGGGTTCCCCGTCTTGTGACAGTCCTGGAAGAAATCGCTGTGTTTTGCGACATTTATGCGCGGTTGAAACCGGATTCCGTTAGAATTCAAGATGGTTGGCCATTTTTGCCTCAAAAAGAAGTGAGTATCTGATCAACAGCCAAGTGTGTGTATAGCAGGCCCAAAATGGATAGAACAGGGGGACACCTGAAAAATATGTGGTAAATAATCATCTATTACATCCTGGTTTTAGACTTTTCTATCTTCTTGGGGCTTGCCATAGAAGGATTTTTCTGAAGGATTTTCTACATGACCAAAAAAGTGCTGGAGCCGAATGTGCGTACTGCCGATTCTTTGCCGATATCTACTCCCACTTGTTTGATCTTGTTTGTTGATTCATCTCCCAATTGCCTTGTGCTTCACTATGAACTGATCTTAGTCAGTTCATCTCCCATTCTTGGTGTTGGTCAGGGTTTGTCTGAAAATAGGTTACCCCAAAAACTCATATTCAATCATGATGTTTTCCAAGTTGCTAGTTTATATGTGGCTGGTCAAAATCCTTCGCCAAATAGCTGGGATCTATGGATGTTCATCCCCAAAATTGCTATAAATCATAGGTAGTTTGATCCATCCCCATATTTTTCTATGCCTGACATCTTTTCCAACAGCTGCCTCTAGGCGTTCGCGAGCCGCAGCAGTTCTTCGGCTGTATCTGGCTGACCAAAAGGCCTGGATTCATGGTGAATTCATAGATTCCTAGGGGATTGGATCTTGGATTTCATGTGGATTCATAGGTAGTTTATAGTGGGTAATATATATGGTGGATTTAGTCTTATATTGAATTAGTTGGTACTTGATAGTTTTTTCGGCGATGGATTTATAGTGGTGAATTGGATTCATTGAATTACTTTGTCCTTGGCAATTTGGCCCAATGAAATTCTACCTGCGATGAAAGTTATGGATTTACCATGATGAAAGCATGGGGATTCCATTGGGGAAATTGGTATATGAATTGATTTCCTAGTTATCATCCATTTATTGGTTGGGAGTTTCCCCTTAGAAATAAACCATGCTATTGGGATTTCCCCATCATTTATGGAAATCCCCATAGATTCTATTGAAACTAGTGGATTTGGAACATGAATTCTATTTTCCATGTCATATATGGGATGTCATCCTTCCCATTGACGAAGTCATATTTTTCAAGATGGTTATTGCACCACCAACCAGAATTCGTGGATTTGCCCATCTAAAATGATTCTGGAAAATCCATCTATTTATTGAAATTTCTGGTTATTTAGCACCATGGTTATTTACCCATCTATTCATTTCCTCATGAAAAATCCACTATTGATTTCCTCATCCATTTATAGATGGATTGTCCATGAAATAAACCATCCAGCTATTGGGAATTCCCCATGACTATGGAAATCCCCATATATTTTTATTGACTTGATTCTATTGAAATTGGTGGATTTAAATTTCTATTCATTGAAATTTCGAGTGAAATCACCATTTCCACTGAATTCTGGATGGGTGAACTGGGTGAACTCGCAGGTCGTTTATACAGTGGATGTGGCCAAACGATAGGGGATATAACTATTCTTAATTAACAATCATAAGCCTGATATATAACTTATTAGTAAGCCGACTAGTTTCTTAATTAACAATAGTTAACAATCATAGGCCAAATGATAACTATTCTTGATATAACAAGACAGCTGAGAACTAGTTGACTTCAATTAAAATTACCAGTAGTACCGCACGGTCGGCGGTGGCGGAAGTTTCAAAAATAGGAAACCGAAAAAGGAGAGGCTGTTTGTTGTGAATCAGGGATGGCAGAGCAAAGCCACTGATGGAGCGAAAGGTGATTGATCTCTCTCACTATTTCTCTCTCTTTCTCTGACTATCTACCTACCTACCTAGCTAGCTAGCTATCTATCTGTCTATCTATCTATCTATCTATCTATCTCTCTCTCTCTCTCTTTCATCTACTCTATCTATCGATCTATCTATCTATCGATCGATCTATCTATCTATCTATCGATCTATCTATCTATCTATCTATCTAAATTTCTATCGATCGATCTATCTATCTTTCTTTCTTTCTATCGATCTATCTATCTATCTATCTCTCTCTCTCTCTCCTTCATCCGTCTAGCTGTCTACCTGTCTATCTGTGGTGCAGTGTCATTGAGTGTAATGTAGTGTAGTGCAATGTAGTGTAGTGTAGTGTAATTTAATGTAGTGGAGTGTAGTGGAGTGTAGTTGTGTAATTGTGTAGTTGTGTAGTTGTGTAGTTGTAGTTGTAGTTGTAGTGTAGTGGAGTGCAGTGTAGTGTAATGTAGTGAAGTGTAGTGGAAGGTAGCGTAGTGTAGTGTAATGTAGTGTAGTGTAGTGGAGTGTAGTGTAGTGTAATGTAGTGAAGTGTAGTGTAATTTAGTGTAGTGGAGTGTAGTGGAGTGTAGTTGTGTAGTTGTGTAGTTGTAGTTGTAGTGTAGCGGAGTGTAGTGTAGTGTAATGTAGTGTAGTGTAGCGGAGTGTAGTGTAGTGTAATGTAGTGTAGTGTAGT